ACCAAACCCCAAAACATTGACCGAATCTACCTTAATTAATGTTTGTAGCCAAAACGTCATAGATATTACGCTAGCAGTAGCTGTAATATTAAACAAAATTCAAAATTGGCAGGTATCGTAGGACAAATCTATGTTTGACCACCACTGGATAACTTATACTATTACTCTAAAAAAAATCCTGATCTAATCTCGCGACCCTAGTAGGGTAGATGTAGAACTCCATAATAGACTCTTCGAACATGATCTGCGAAATTAAAAGGCTTTAACTCCAGCAACTAATGCAGAATTGAAATGATGTACAGTACCTATCTAAAATAAAATAATCTATGCTAACAAAAAATTCTGGCTGATAGGGATTATCCAGGAAAGTCGCAAAACTAACACTTGGTGGTGTACTGAACTGAAACACCATGGAAAGACAGCAAGGACAGCTTTTGGTCGAGCTAAACGCATCCAACTCAAAGAGGATTGGTATTCTGCAAACCTCAATAGAGTATATTAGTCCAACCTCAGAGATTTGTTAAACTGTTTGTTCGGGTTGTTAGGCCGTTGTGTTCTGAGATTAGTTCTTAACGTTTTGCCAACACTAGGGGTTGGCATCTTCTGGAGATGTTACTGCTTCACTTGTAAGCTGAAACTGACGCCGCGTTGTACTACGGAGGCCATATTTATATTTTCTACTCGTTTCCCCTCCACTGGTTTTGGCGTGAGAGGACGTGTCGTCGTTTGTAGCTTTTCTTTTTTCGTGTTTTGTGGAAAGTGTGTTGGTGGATTTTAATATTGGTATCCATGGTTTGTTAATTTTTAGTCCTTTTAGCCGATTAAAATTATTTGGATGCTTATATATTTCCAAGTTAGATGATGTCCGTGAAATCCTAACGCATTTTATCAAATCTCAGAGATTTTAAATTTTGCAGACAAAAACAAAGAGCTGCTTGGAGAGCCTATTGTAAGGAAATATAAGATTTTCCGCAGGTTTTCAGGGTACAAAAGGGTTAAAGAACCCACATCAGCATCTCGGCATAATACCGAAGTAAGATAAAGGAAAACTTACAGCCTTTGCAAAAGTGCTAATATCCTGATGAAAACACACTTTCCCGATTCGATTGCCTTAACATCCGCAAACTGAACAAAAGAAATAATCATACTCTTACTGAACGACTAAAATCTTGCAAGACCAATCAATACTAAGGAAAAGGTAAGATGGCCATATTAGACTTCACCCCTTTCATTTCACGTGGGCATGACGGCTTAAATTCTAGATTACTATGGTGGAGAATGGATAATCCCTATACCGCACCTTGTGGGAATATTCAGAGCCTTTTTAACTCTGAAATATATTCCTAGAAATTGAAAAGAGGTACGTGTCATCTTTATACTAAAACCAGATAGCCTGGACTTCACCCTACCAAAGGCTTTCCGACCAATTAGCCTAACATCGCTTTGCTTTAAAAACGTTGGAAAGGCTATGCGAGAGGTACATAAGAGATGAAGTTCTGGTTCATAGCATGCATATACTTCGGGAAGATCTACCGATTCTGCACGGTATCAACTAGGTGGAAGAGTTGAAAGATTACTGGATAATAAAGAATCCACCCTAACATAGTTCTAGACATCCTGTTTGGCCAACTCAGCAGCAACGGGTTAACCACTGCAACCACCTAATGTACGCAGACGACATAGTACTAACAGCAGATTCCGAGAATAAAATGCAAAAACTAATGGATATATGGTTAGAACAAATAGAAGAACCAAAAATGGAGATAAACGAGGAAAAAAGTAAGATAATAATAATCAGTGGCAAAGGGATAAAATGTAAAAACTCAGAATTGGAAATAGTAACAACTTACCAATACCTGGCAAGTATAATAACTATTGACGGAAAAATAGACTGTAAAATCAAACAAGTTATACTATGTGTTAGTCCCAATAATGGGAAAAAGAGAACTTACACGAGAGATAAGAATAAAAATATATAACACAATAGTGATACCGACTGTGCTCTATGTAAGTGAAAACTGGACAATTCTGGAAAAACATAAGAGCAGGATAAACGCAATGGAGATGAGACATCTAAGAAGGATTAATTACTATTAAACTGGGAATAAGCCACAATTAAAGATAAAAATACGTTTATTGACGTTTCAATTTCCACTTCGGAAATCGTTCTCAAAATACAAACAGTAAATTAAAAAAATTTTGTTTTTTGTTAGATAGTGAAAAATTCTTCTAATAATTTAATTTTATCTGACTCATTTATATTGACAATTCAGACATACATTATGCGTTTTAAAGTGGACGACTTTAAAATGATATTGCCAATATTGCTAAGTTGCGCTCCTGGGACGACTTTACTTATAAGATAGTTCATTCGATTACATGAAATCAACTTTAACTTGAGAATATCCGTCAGAAAAAAATCATAGCATGTAATTCGTCTTTAAAAAGACAAACACATGACATGATGACTGTAAAATTCTCCTGTTAGTGATTCCATAGTAAATTATAAGGGAAAAACCAGGAAAAAAAGCCTCATAATAATATAATATAAAAAAAAAACATAAATGATGAACTATCTTATAAGTAAAGTCGTCCCAGGAGCGCAACTCAACAATATTGGCAATATCATTTTAAACTCGTCTACTTTAAAATGCATATTGTATGTCTGAATTGTCAATATAAATGAGTCAGATAAAATTAAATAATTATTAGAAGAATTTTTCACTATGTAACAAAAAACAAAATTTGTTTAATTTACTGTTTCTATTTTGAGAACGATTTCCGAAGTGGAAATTGAAACGTCAATAATCGTATTTTTATCTTTAATTGTGGCTTATTCCCAGTTTAATAGTAATTAATTTACAATGCCACAAGAAAATAGCTTCAGAACAATATCTAAGAAGGATAGTTGGAAAGACAAAATGAGATAGATTAAGCAACAAGACTATTAGGAGAATGGCCAACCAGGAACCGATAATGAACAAAATAGCAAAGAGACAAATGAACTGGTATGGGCATCTGATGAGGATGCGATCCAATAGAATAACAAGAAAAGTTTATAAAGCAAAGAACATCGGAAAAAGAAAAAGAGGCAGACCAAGAAAAAAATGGATACAGCAAGTAGTAGAGGCGGGAAAACTTAAACAAAAATCACTCGAGGAGTTGAAAATAATGGCAGGAAATAGAAAAGAATGGAAGAGGTGGGTAAATGGAAATTAAAATAGCTAGCCCAAATTCGACACCCTGATAGGGTAAAAGGAAGGAGAGAAAGAAAGAAAGAGAATTATTGTAAAATATGTTATTTGTTGACATTTGGTTAATTGAATTTGATGGGAGTTGGGTGGGTATATAATTATTGGGATTTAATGAAGGGAAAGTTTTGAGGCAGAAAATTTTTGTAGTTTGTTCCGTATTAACGGTTATTGCTTTTGCATAGGAGTTTCTGGGGAACTGTCTGTTGGCGTTTTGATAACTAATATTACTGGAAGACATAGCGTCTTTTACAAGTTTTTGACGTTGAAATTCTTGACATGCGCTCAAATTTGTAGTAAAATGATTCCCCGAACAATTAATACATTTTGGAGTTATATCGGTCGTTTTACATTTTTTTGAGTTGTGTGATTCCTGACATTTATCGCACCTAGCCCTGCTCTTACACTGTCCCCCTGTATGTCCAAATCTAAGACAATTAAAGCATAACCTAAAAGCCCATTAAAGCACCTTTCGTTTATATGGCTCGACTTTATTTAGTATCTTGTTGATTGTTATATATTTTGGACTGAAGGACAAAGCTGTCCTTCAAAGCGGTAAGTTTGAGATTACAAGTTGCTCTCCGACTAATACAAACATGGCGCAATAAACACCTACGATCTATAAATTCTAAGTAGATACAGATGGTACTATTCACCAGTAAAAAAAGGGAATCACGGGTTTAATATCCCCGAGGATTCTAAACTTTTCTGACGAGGTGAAATATCTTAGTATTACCCTTGACAGGAAGTTAACATGAAACTACCACTTAGATGGTAGAGCTTAAAGAGCATATATGCCTATGAGCAGTGTCAACGAACGGTCGGACAGTGTAGTTACGCAGAATTGGCTGATATCTCTGTGGCTGCAAAAAAAATGACCCAAAAAGGTGTAACAGGGAAAACTATAATTTGCACTGATAGCAGACAACTCCCTACGCCTCCTATCCTTCCTACTCTACAGATACAGATAGGACGAACGTGTTAAAGACGAACAAGAATTGGTATTGTTCTTTCGAAATAAGTTTGGTCGAGTTGCAGAACTAGTTGCTAGTACCAGCTCCTGGAAAATATCTAAAACTCTAAGATGCATCACGTTACTATTTCCATCTTGTAACAAGACACCGTCCATGACAAACCCATTTACCCAAGTGTATAGGAAACATTACTTCAATAGATGGAGCACATGCTAGAGTCCAACGTGTAAAAGTTAGCCATACCAAAGCTAGAATGCCGTCACCTGGTGGAGTAATTTTTTAAAGATACCGAAGTCTAGAAAACCGTTCCTTGACAATTTTATACGACTGGGAGTTGTAAAAAAGAGTCTAGTTGGCGATAACACAGTATCCGACAAAATTCCAGATGAAATAATCTCTTAAGGAAGGAAGAATGTTACGCCAGCTCACTTTGCTCTGCCTGTTCTAAAATTGAAACTTAAGGACATCACGAGAAGCTGTCCTGATGCTAGAATTCAAACGTGTTTTAGAAAAAATATTTCGAAGAATGATTTTACTATAAACAAAGAAAAATTAAATTGTAGAATGCCACTCGATAAAATAAATTTGTAGGGCTAAGTAAAAAAATGTTATGATATAATTGTATTTTTATTGTTAATGTTATAAGACTGTAAATAAATTAAAATAAGTGTTAGAAAACTGTAAATAATTTAAAATAAATATTATATTTGTAAAAAAATTCCAATTTCTTTGATCGACGGTGTAGAATTTAAAATTTCTTTTAATTCATTTTCAGGTCTTTTATACCAATCAATACTTGATCTTCATAAGTTTGACAGTGCAGAACCTTTACCATTGGATGCAGAAGTACATGAGTATGGTCCTCCTAAAATATCACCTAGTGTTTCTTCAGATTCCTCGTTTGTTCATTATCACCTTCAACAAGCTGTATCACAACCGCCTTTACATTATACCAGTTGGTTAGGAACTCAAGAAGCAAAATCTACTAGCCATATTTTTGGCTTACAAGGTAACAACTATTCAGTTTAAATTTTATACTTTAAAAACTATTTTAATTGTTAAAATTTCGCCAAAATTTGTAAATTAAGGAAAAAAAGAAAATTAAAAGCAAGAGAAAAATTTGTGTTTTCAAGTTTATGCTATAAATTTACATGGCACTGGAATCGCCCATTTGTCGCCTAAGACACCATAATATCAACAAACTGTGAATGACATAACTGACAATTATTTTCGTATCTTCAAGTATCTATATTTGTGGAACTCCTTGTTTTTGTATCAATTTATAATGTTGTTTGCATACCATCATGCGTTTTTTATTGCCAGTTAATGCGTGTTCAGTTAATATCTGTTCGCGATGGGGTGTTTTGGTCTATTACCTGTTCTGTAGTTCCTGTCTCCGATCAAGATAAATTCACATTGTGTTACCAATTACCAATAGTACGTTGCTTAGTGTTCCTTTATATAGATCTTTTTACTACTACTCTCATCATTGTTTAGTGTTTATGCTATACAAGAAGTAAGTCCATTGTCTCTTTCATCTGTGTTGATTTTACTGTACATATAAAATAATCCAATTCAATATATTTAACCCTTCGTTTTTATTTCATTTTGGTAATAACTGAATTGATTTTGATATTTTTTAGATTATTTATAAATTCTTCTATTTTAACTTTGAAAATTAAGGCAAATATCAAGCACAAGTTTAATCAAATCTTGCCCAAGTACTTTCGCATCTAGCATCATCAGGGGCATCTAAAATAAGCCAAAAAACGTTTTTTTTTTTAATGAAGAAAGTTAATTAACTTCGATTAAAACTCGAAGTTAATGGATGATAAAAGTTTTTTAGACTTACTTCGTTAAATTTGGACTATCCAGCAAGCGTAGAATGTAATACATATGAAAATGAACATAAATGGTACATAACACTACATTAACAAAAGGACAAACAGTTTAAAATTATTAAAATTATCCTGACGCTCTACATTCTTGTCGGAAATTGGAGAGAGAATGGTAATTAACGGAAATGCTAAGGTGACATATGACATATGACAGCTTTGATGGGCTGTCACAATCATGGATATGTGATCTAAACGTATTAAAATTGTGTGAAAGTAAGCTAGCATTGACCAAAGGTCCAACTGACACTACTGTAGAAAATCAGCTTATGAAATATGAAATATAGAATATTTTAATTTAACTAGATGACATTATCCAGATCTCACACTCACGCCAGTCTGTGATAATAAGGTTGTAAGTTTGACAGCAAATGAAGAGGACATAAAGTGTGAATGAAAGAAATAGACTAAACGATCTATTGGATAGTGGGTGGTTGACTACAATAAAATGGTCTACCAGACACTTTCAATACTGTAAAAAAGAGAAGAAAACTCACTATGAAATTGAAATACTAAAAATTAAAGCAAAATTGAAAGCAGTGTATAAATGGGGTATAATTCAAGTAGTTCAGTTAAACCCCCAGCTAATGGGAGAACTGTAAAACTAATATGTAATAGCGTTAGTAAAAACCAACTGACCAACGGTGGCAGATGTTGAAATATACAACTATGGAATTGGTATATCTAGATTACGCAGAGGTATGAAGAGTAAAATTAACGCCAACTATAGATCAATTGAACCTGAGCAAGCTAGTTGTATAAATTGTTAAAGAATACAATAGTAATGTTGATCAAAGCATGAAATTAATAAATTCTTAATGGATATACTCAGTGCAGAAAGTCTAAACAGCCGAGCTGGGTCCACTACGAGGTGAAGCTGCAATAAAGTTTTTAAAAATAGGTTTAAATTTAGTACAATTTAAATTAATTTGAGTGTTAAGACAATGAGAGTTTCCACTTGTTTCCTTGTATTCCTTTCCCAGTATTGATGTTGAAATTGTGTTTACTACATAGTAAATGTATGTAGAACACAAATTTAGTACACAAATCAATGTAGAAGTTTGAATGGCGATCTATTAACAACAAGAACAGACGTACTAAATCGATGGACGGAATATTTTAACCAGATACTTAATATAGCGGAAGAAGAAGAAAATCCGGAAGACGAAAGCTGTGAGGTAAGCGGAGTAGACGGGAGGGAAGAGAATCCACCAACGATCCTGGAAGTTAAAGACGCTGTCAATAAACTAGCCAGAAACAAATCACTCGGAATAGATAATCTTCCAGCGGAACTATATAAAGAAGGTGGCCACGATATCATAATACTGCTACAGCAGCTTATAAAAAAAATATGGATACAGAAGTCCCCCCCCAGTGATTGGAATATTGGAATACTTTGCACCATACACAAAAAGGGAGATATCTTTGAATGCTCTAACTCTCGAGGAATTACGCTCCTAAATGCAGCGTATAAAATATTCTCCAATATACTATGCCATCGTATGGCACCGTATGCAGAGCAAATAATAGGACAATACCAGGCTGGTTTCAGAGGTGGAAAATAAACAATTCATCAGATTTCAACCCTGAGACAAATTCTAGAAAAAACACTGGAATACGGTGTAGACACGCACCACATATTTATAGACTACAAGGCAGCCATGACTCTGTAAATATAAGAGAATTGTTAAGAGCAATGATAGACCTGGGAGTACCAAATCAGTTGGTAAGTCTAACCAAACTAACCCTTGAAAAAGTTGAATGCAGAGTACGAATCCAAGGGGAACTCTCTGAACCTTTTAATACAAATAACGGGCTACGTCAGGAAGACCCACTCTCCTGTAAATTCTTAATGTATATACTCAGTGCAGGAAGTCTAAACAGCCGAGCTGGGTCCACTACGATAAAGTTTTTAAAAATAGGTTTAATATAGATCAATTGAACCTGAGCAAGCTAGTTGTGTAAATTGTTAAAGAATATAATAGTAGTGTTGATCAAAGCATGAAATTAATAAATTCTTAATAGATATACTCAGTGCAGGATGTCTAAACAGCCGAGCTGGGTCCACTACGATAAAATTTTTAAAAATAGGTTTAAATTTAGTGCAATTTAAATTAATTTGAGTGTTAAGACAATGAGACTTTCCATTTGTTTGTGCTGTAGCACTATTATGATATCGTGGCCACCTTCTTTATATAGTTCCGCTGGAAGATTATCTATTCCGAGTGATTTGTTTCTGGCTAGTTTATTGACAACGTCTTTAACTTCCAGGATCGTTGGTGGATTCTCCTCCCTCCCGTCTACTCCGCTTACCTCACAGCTTTCGTCTTCCGGATTTTCTTCTTCTTCCTCTATATTAAGTATCTGGTTAAAATATTCCGTCCATCGTTTTAGTACGTCTGTTCTTGTTGTTAATAGATCGCCATTCAAACTTCTACATTGATTTGTGTACTAAATTTGTGTTCTACATACATTTACTATGTAGTAAACACAATTTCAACAACAATACTGGGAAAGGAATACAAGGAAACAAATGGAAATCCTTTTGTTTTTTAAAGGAATGGTGATTTCTATGAAAAGTACGTTTGTACTTACATTGATGTTGTTGAAGTAGAAACTTTAAAAAACAAAAGGATTTGCTAAAATCAATTAAACAAAAAATCTATAGAGATTCTCTAGTACTCAGCAAGGATGATAAGGGAAATTGTGCTGTAATCTTAGAACAAACTCAATACATAGAGAAAGTAGAATCTTTCCTTTCAGATAATAATTTTGTAGTTTTGGAAAAACATCCACTTAACACCTTTATTAATAAAACAAAAGCAATGGTTAAATTGTTTAATGATACTATTTCTAAATATAACAAAAGGAAGTTAATTGTATCTAATCCTATAACACCTAGGTTATATGGATATTTTTTTGGACAGCTTAGAACAAAAATTTGTTAACAACAACAACAAAATAGTTTTTTTGTCAAGGTATGTTGATGATTGTATAGCTCTCATACAAGGAACTCAAGATGATGCTTTACAGATTCTGGATAATCTTAATAACCTCCATCCTAACATCTCTTTTACATTGGAACCAGAATCTGACAATAAGTTGAACTTCTTGGATATGACTATATCTTGTAATAAAGATTCTCTTGAGTACAATATTACAGAAAGCCCACCTAGACAAACAGATCATGTTATACATGAGACATCTAACCATCCAACCCAACATAAAATGGCTGCTTTCAATAGTTATATTCACAAATTGCTTTAAATTATGGTTATGATCTAAACATTATCCATAAGCTTCTAAATAGAGCTAAACTCAAAATTGTAGAAAAGCTTGCATATTCATCACAATGTCTTTTTCAATCTAATGCTTCTAACATCAGATATTTCTCTTTTACTTATATTAGCAACATTTTCAATAAAATAGCTTAACTTTTTACCTTTGCAGTTAAAAACATCAAAATTTCCTTCAAGTCACACAACACAGGTTCCTTTTTAATCAACACCAAAGATAGGTTGAACACACTTGACAAAAGTGGTATTTACAAATTAAAGTGTGATGATTGTAATGCCTCTTATGTAGGCAGAACCATTAGAAAGCTATCTACCAGAATTTCAGAACATTTTAAAAAAACAAACTCTTCAAGTTTTGGTCAACATTTACTCCCCAAGAATTTTCTTCCAGTCGTCCCTATCCATCGCCTTCCTCCGCCAAGCACGTATTTCCATATTTCTCATATCTTGGTCTATGTTATCTAGGAATCTTGTTCTGGGTCTTCCTCTTCTTCTTTGACCAATAGGTCTATCAAGGAGCGTTTTTCTAGTTGGGTCGGTTTGCTCCATCCGCATTACATGGCCTACCCACCTCAGACATCCTATCTTAATGTGTTTCACGTTATCTGGTTCCTGATATATTCTATAGAGTTCGAAGTTGTATCGTCTTCTCCAGACACCATTTTCATTTACCGCTCCATAGATGCGCCTCAGTATTTTTATTTCTAAACATCCTAACATGTTTTCATTGCTTTTTGTTAAAGTCCAGGTTTCTGAACCATATGTTAGGACTGGGCGTATTATTGTGTTGTAGAGTTTTACTTTTGTATTTCTTGATATAGCTGTAGATTTAAAAAGA